TTGACGGCAGTCACTCTGGAAGACCCAACGCCTAGAGGTTTGGCCAACTTCCTTGGGCTCCTGTGGAGGCCGGGTCGGAGCACAGAAAATGGGCATGTCTTGTTACGGAAGGCATCGATGGAAAGGTGGATGATTGGGGGAGTTTGTTGAATATAGTTTCAGAAGCTGTTTCTCAGGCCCAGGTAGCTTTATATTGGCCGGGAGTCGGAAACTGGCTAAAGGATCTGTTGGCTAGTTAAGCCAGTGATGTCCCTGAAGACTCACTTGAGGGCTTTTGTTTTCAAAACGGGAAGTGCAGGTTGACCACTTTGAGTGCTAGACATTGGGGGAAATGTAGGGCGTTAGTCTGGTTTGACCCATCTTCCCGGAGAGAGCCTGGAGGATGGGGCCACGCTCAATGAAAGATCTAATGGCTGCTGGAGAGCAAACAGGATTTTTGAAGCATTCATGTCTGAGACTCATGGTCTGAAAAAATTGGCAGGTTTTTAAAGTCAACCTGGCATAAGGTTGGAAAGCAGTGACTCAGCCCCCACCGGGCCTGGTTTATAAGGCTGCCCCTGAACTCAGTCGGACTTTCTTCTGGATAGTCTTAGGCAGGATTGCTCTATAGATGACAGTCGGGCCGACTGATGGGAGGGAAGCCTGTTATTGAAGAAAGAAGAGCAGCTCCAGCCCAGGAGAGAAGGAGCTTGTGCTTTTGAAGGGGGAGGGCCCTGCCTCGTCCAGGATTCTTCAGAGGCGGCAACTTGTCCATGGATGGAGTGATGCAGCAGATGTTGCCTAAGGTAGACAAGCCTCACAAACAGAATCTCTTCCCATCAAAGGCCCCATTGAATGGTGGTCACTGGGTGCTTTCCTAAGGAAGGGGTTGTGTCCGGTATCCATGTCCTGAGGAGCCATCCTGAGGCTGGTGGACCTGTTCATAAATGACGTGGATTCAAGAGGTGAGGCTTGCGGGCCAGGCTGATGGATTGTGAAGCAAGAGCCGGTGGTGAAGGGCTCCTGGGGTCCGCTTTCCGCTGGGGGAGGGGGCTGAGCTGGGGCGGTGGGGGGG